GCCGGCACATTGGATTATCTAATATTAATATTTTACAGAAAAATGAAAATCATCAATAGATTTTCATTTATCTCTTTCCTACAAAAACTTGAGAATATGCTATAGTTTTATTTTGTTGCTTTTATACCTTATACGTATATTTTACCTTTTTCTTAATAGAGAATTCACATTGAAGAGTTCTAGTCCGAAACTCTACATATATCTCCTTGTAGGGGTTTCTTGAGGCTCCTCCCAAACACGAATCGAAGTAAAGGTCTAGGATCAATTGGTTGCAAACTCTTGCATTTTACTTCAGAAATAGGTTTTGATTATTTCCTTAATAGTTGTTATGTATTTAGATATATTGAACGTGGTGTCCAAGGCGTATTTCACAACTAAATGTTGTGATTCTTCTATTAATGCAAAGCCATATCTTCCTAATTATTCTTTATATTTAATCTTTCAAATATCTTTTCATTATTTCTTTCCAAAAACATGTTATTCTCTTGATATTGTTCTTTAATGTAATCTTGGTATCCAAGGCTTTTTCTCTACGTCTCTATATATATAGAAGAAGGGTGAGAGACACACAATAATATGATTTAGAATTTTCGGAAAAATGCCTCAACTTCTTAGCCGAGTCTTGAAGCCCTCTGTCTACAAAAATGTCCTCGTAAGCCTTTCTTTCTTTCTATAACTACTACTTCTTGTTGTATGATTAGGTCAACTTATTTTACGTATATACATTATTACATTTGGCAGAAACACAACAAGAAGATGGTTCGGTGGTGTTCGTCTACTCCAATATACCCATATATGTTAATTGACCACGTCCTCAAGGTTGGAGAGAATGATCAAGTAACAAGAAGGTCTGGATCAGATGGTGAAATTGAAATCATATTTAAGAACACGTGTCTCGCTACAGAAGTCCATAGCGCGATGTCTACCGGATTTAATCAAAATGGAGTGAATATTCACATGAAGGACAGAAAATTCCTCCGTGATATTGATAAAATTCGTCTAAACATATATTACAAGCCCTCTGATCCTAAATCAAAATCAGTGTCTGTTCATCTACCTCCTCTTCCTCAAGGCTCTCAAATCACAAACCTAGCAATGTCCTCTCTTCCTGACCTAGAAAATGAAGAATGGGATCTCAGCTTAAGCTCTATAGACATAAGGACTTACGTTGGATTGATATCGAAACCACGCATGCTCATGAGACTATTAGCCCATACTCAAGTATCATGTATTCTAAAAAAGATCAAAGGTTCTACATTCCAACTCCTGGAGGCCAATACTTGTGCTCCTTTGATCTCAACTTCAAGGAGAAGGACAAGCCCAAGTACGATCTCATGTGGAAGAAAGATATTCCGCAGTATATGTCGTATGAGCTAGAGGAAATGAATTCGTTTACCAGGATAGACCATCTTGTGGAGTCACCTTCCGGCGAACAATTCCTCATTTCATGGTATATATCTTAAAACTTTGTGTTTTTCCTTTTCTTTTTAACATTCACACAAAAGTAGGAAAACTATCATATCAAGTGCTATATCTATCTATAGTTATTAGTTAGGCCATATCTTTGTAAGACTTAATAACGCTAGTAGTTCTCTTTATGTGTTTGAAGGTATTACGGAGACGAGATGGTGTTATACAAAGGAGAAACAACATTAATGCACAAAACAAAGCGATTTATGGTGTTTAAAGAGCAAGAAATGAATAAGGAAAAGAAGTATGATAAAGATATGATTTACACAGAAAACATTGGAGATTTTTGTATTTTTCTTGGACATGGTGAAGCTTTGTGTGTCCCATCAACCTCGTCTCCGGGTCTTAAAGCTAACTGCATCTATTTTGTGGGACATAACTATGGAGTTTTTGATATCACAACCCAAAATTGCACTCTCTTCTCCATGGAAGGAGGTCCATTTAGATCCTTTGAGTTTCCTTACTGGCCTCATCCATTTTCTCTCACTCCTCATAGTCATTAGTATGGTCT